GCATGCTAATAAGCAACTAGTTAATACTGAGAATTGGTCCCTAAAATAAAGTGTTACCTACATTTACCTACCTACTAATTTTGTATATAGCCATTTATTTATATTGTCCCCAACTACATAGTGACGCAAATAACAATATAAAAGGTAATTTGTCCTCACAGGCCTTGAGGGTTTAAATTCATGCATTCCAAACCGTGTTTCTCAATATCTTTAAATCACTGCAAAGCCTACTTATTTTCCCTTCTTGTCATGCCAAATTATTTGTAGTCTGCAATGCTTGAAAAAAGCCTGATAACAAAAGATGACTACTGAGGCCAATTTTTAAACAAACAAATTATTAGCAAAATCTGTGGAGAAGTGCAGATATTGCTTCAGAAACAAACCTTGACAAAGCTAATGCACTAAGAGAAAAATGCCGGCCTGGTTTTTACCACCTCATCTCCATATTTAGAAACCTTTTATGCCCGGCTAGGTTGCCTGCTGCTCCCAGACTGAATAATGTGTAGGAGTGGTAAATTGGCTTTCCAGTTAAAACCTTTCTCACTAGGTATGTTCTTTTTGTGGTTAGGAAAGCTATACCAGTAATGACTGTTCCAATACAGAGCAATGCTGTATTCTTTAGTTCAAATGTGTCAGCTAGGAAATTGTACTGAGCAGATATTTGATTCCTATGAAACTGGGCAAAAAGGAGATGAAGAGTCATCATATCCCAAAATACTTTGAGGTCATGAATCTTTGTAAATGAACATATGTATTAGACATCTCGATGTTATAATATCCTTAGGTTCAACAACCTAGAGTTGAGCTATCATTATAGCATATGTGTGTTCAAACACATACAGTGCACAGATGTTAAAGATATTGATGCATGTGTGGTTATGAACATCTGTGTAGGCTTGCTCTTTATTACTGCAATTTTAAAAAACACACTGCATTGCACTTAAAAAGCTATTTCTAAATTGTTAGGCAAATACTGACGTGTTCTTTAAATTCTCGTTTAGGGATCCGAATCAGCCAGTTCCACAGGACACCAAATTCATCCACACGAAGCCTAACCGCTTCGAGGAAGTGGCTTGGTCTAAATACAACCCAAAAGACCAGCTTTATCTACACATTGGACTAAAGCCAAGGGTGAGAGATCACTATCGTGCAACTAAGGTTGCCTTCTGGTTAGAGCTGGTACCTCATCTTCATAAC